TAATAATGAACAGAACTTCGTGGGTCAAGTTTTCTAGGTGCTCAATATCTTCACAGCGCAATCTCTATCAAATCACATTTCATACTTTATGATTAATATCTTTTGTTGACAATTTTTTTAAATCTGGCTTCTTCCAGGATGCAATCACGAGTCCTTGTTTGTCAGCTGAGCATGCTATTACCCTTTTAACCCAAGTTTTATATGCCTACCAAATCGTTTAAGACTCCCTTTTCATTTTCCCCTGTTGTTTTGTATCCACGATGTTCTTTTTAAAATGCCGAAGCAGTGGAATGATATTCTTTATCATTTATTATGAACGTATCCTTTTCAATGCTACATGCTGACAATAATTTTTCAGCGGGGAACTGTTGTTCTGGTAGATGAGGAAGAGCTTGAGGTTGAAACAGTAAATGAAGGGGACCCATTGGGTCAAAGGTATTCTATAGCTCATCCAACTCATTATTAGTCTCAAAAGTGCTGTGGTTTATATTTTCTTGAATTGGTCAACCACATGATATCAACGGTTGGAATTCATGTATGCTTATTCCTGTGTCTTTGTTTGTTTCAGCAGTCAAGATAGTACGATATACTATCCATCGAGGTACTGTTTCATCAAAGTAATATTCAACAAAGATAAGGAGTTATCTGACGTATCTATTGTACTAAAAATTTCTCTACATGTATCCTAATAAGTTATTGCTAGTTTCTGACAATAGGGATGATCCTGAAGCTGTCCAAATTTATTACTCAGACTTGGAATGTCTGGCTCCTCAAACTTACGTGTCTTCAACGATCATGAACTTTTACATTCGGTAAGCCGATAGAATGTGGTCTTTTTTACTAATCTAATATTGAGTTTAATCTTTAATGAAGAATGATGTGTCCCTGCGCACAGAAAGACCAAATGCCTCTTATTTCCTTCTCTTTCTGCTTCTGGTTCAGTTTGTTTAGTACCTTGCTTAGTTGAGGCATTTATTTTTCCGTATGTTCATTGCATTGTGAAATTATACATTACATACTGGCAAGCAACTAAGAACTTGTCCACTGTCACCTTCTTAAACAAAAGAACCTTAGGCTCATACTTAAATAGTTCACTTGTCTGTTCTGCCTAATATTTTGTTGGTTCTCCTAGCTTGTATGCTACACGAGATAAATCATGTCATGTAAAGGAAAGAGGTTTGGATTTGCATTTGCTGGTCTGCTGTGTTATTAAAAAGGCGCGCGGCGAGCCTAGGCGAACGAGCCTCCTATTTGCCATGGAGTGAAGCGTGAGGCGTGGCAATAGCAAACATAATGATTTTATATATACTGAAGTTGAAATTTGAAAAAAAAAAAAATTCAGTCCAAACAAGAATTCTTTCACAAAATAAAATCCCTTCAATTTTGATTAGCATTAGCAGCTCTTCAGGAGGGATGGATTTGGAAAAAACAAAACTGAAAGGACTAATTGGAGGATTTTATAAATTAATCGGAGGATTAATTGCAGCCAGAATTTGAAAAGTCAAAAGAAAGAAAGAAAAAAAAAATAAAAATATCACAACAGAAAGGAGTACACAGGAAAAAGAAAAAAGAAAAGAAAACGACAAGCATATACTTGATAGTGAAGCCACAGGTGTCACCGGAAAACCACCAGAAACACACTAGAAAAATGGTCGCCTCAATCAGTAAAGTAAAGGGTCAAATTTATTTAAGGTTTCGTTGGAGAAAGTAGGTTTTATTTAAGAAATAATATACGAACTCCAACATTCATAACCCAAAATTTTCAAATACCTCAACCATCTAACTCGACTTTCTGAGGCGAGCACCTCATCTCACCTCGCCACATCTGAGGCGTGCACCACGGCGGCGCCTTTCGCAAGGGTGCCTTGCCATCTGTCTGAGGCGCCCAAGAGGCACCATGCCACGCTTCACGAGGCGACGCCGTTTTAATCACTGGTCCTGCCTTTAGTAACTAAGTTTATCAAGTCTTGGTGCAGTAGGTAATGATTTTGGTCCAATTTTAAGGAGCATATTCTGCGCGAATCGATTGAATTAAGTAGATAAAACTTCAATGATTGATTTTTTTTCCTGTCTAATTTCTATTTTATTGTATTTTTATCTTTTATTTTTCCTTCATTATACTTCAAGATTTTCCTTTTAACCGATGGATCATTCATTTTCAATATCTATATTCTATAGAATTTCATTTACACTACTTGGTCTTAGCGTTCTCTGTTTGTTAATCAATTTTTTCAATTTGGACTAATACTTTATTTCAAATTACACTATTCGTCATGTACCAGTTTCAAAGCTTTTGGGTTGCCTCGTCATTTTGAATTACCTTGTGAGGGCAAAAATATTAGTCATTGTATCATTGGAATTATTTGTGCTTTTCTGCAGTTGCTGTGAATTAATGTTTAGATGCTTCGTTTACTGATCTACTTTGTTTAGGTATTTGCAGAAGCCAGTGTCTCCAAGTACAACAAAAAGATGTGACTATCACTTTTTTAATACATACTTCTATAACAAGTTGAAAGGGGATGTCTTGACCAAGGTACTAGCTTCTTCAAATTTTCGGACGCTATTCCGGGCTAGTAATTATCAATTTTATTTCTATTTATGGCCACAAATGTCAATCATGATTATATAATGGTATACCTAGATATGTATTGAAGAATTATCACTTGGACTTGGCTTCTATGTATCAATTCTAGTTTCCTAGTCAGTCAATATTGGTTTCATTTGAATGGTTCTTTGGAATGAGATAACTGTGACTGCTGATATTTGTCTTGATAGATGTTTCATGGGCTTGTTGAGTGTGTGTGTGTGTTTTTTTTTTTTTTTTNAATGCATTAGAAAACCTTGAAATTAGTTCATATTTTAATATCACTCCTTTTTTGTTTTAATGGAAAAACTTGTAGTAGTACCTCATTCGTTTAATTGCACAAATGTTAATAAAAACTTGTAGAAGTTTTTATTTTATTCTTCAATTAATTTTAAAATATTGCATCACTAAATAGTTTTCCGAACTCATATCATATAGTATGCTATCGTAGATAAATTTATTTTATTTGATAAGTAATGATTTTATTATTTTCCAGCTAACACCAATAGGTAATTCACTTATTTTTTATAATCTTTTTATTTTATGTTTGCAATTGTGGAATCAATTCCCCTGGCATAGTGCTAATAATGGACTAAATCAAAATGGCTCAATTAAATTATAGTGCTTCTTCTATTAGTGAAGTTTCTAGAAATAAAAAATATATCAAACGGCGTAATGCACCTTGGGTCGCTACGGAAACAGCCTCCTCGTATAATTACAAGGGTAAGGTCTGCGTACAACTGACCCCCCAGACCCCAACTTGTTGGGAATATACTGGATATGTTGTTGTTGTTGTTGTATCATATATAAAATTCTTATAACACACACACACACACACACACACATATATATATATATATATATATATATATTGAGTTTTAAATTCATATGTTAAGTTTACCAAGTGTTTTAAGAGTCTTATTAGGCATGGATATAAGTTTGAATCTACATGGACTACTCACTACTCTGAAGCATCAGAAATTGACACATAAGATTACAAAGCACCATAAATTGACACGTAGGATCTCGAAGCACCACAAGTTTGGAAAACTATGCATTTATATATAGGCAGGATAAGATTTCTGACATCATAACTCTGTGCAACATTGAGTCATTTGCTTCTACGGAAGCTGATTCCACGGGCAATTTTGTTGAATTTTCATGTTCCTATGGTGCAGGCTAATAAGGAAATTTCATTTAAGAAGTTCAGGAGGTGGTGGAAAGGTGTCAATATATTTGAGAAAGCTTATATCTTTCTACCAATTCATGAAAAGTGAGTATTAGGATCAATTGCCGGTCTCTTTAGACAATAGAGTGAAGTA